GAACACCGTGAAAGGCTGGTCAGTTAACACATTGCTGCAGCCATGTGGAAAACGTTAGTACTGCAGCCAAACGGAAGGATAAAAATAGCTTTAAAAATATGTATTTTAGTAAACAAAAGTCCCTTTATATTGTCTATATTGTGTTTGTTTGTTGCAATGATATGGCTGATATAACACACTTTGAATTGTCTTCTTGAATTATAAAGTAATGATAGAGGTAGCATTGCCAACTGTAACTGGATATTAGAATTGAAATACATTTAACAAACATATATACCAAATCCTTTACTAATTAAATATAAATATATGTTGACATTATAACCATTTCTTATTTATTATATCTAAAAATACTCTTTCATTTCATTCCTTTATTCATATTGATTTAAAATCCAGTCACTTCAATTCATTTTAAACATCTTTTATTTATTAAGTTTTACAAATAAAGTAACAAATTTCATTGTATTGTAGCGCAAAGTTTTTTTTAATATGAAGCTTGAACACTCTATACTTAGTGCAAAACATACCGTTAGAGGCTGCCGATGACTCCCTATGTATTCTTTTTTCTTTCATTCATCCATCTGTTTTTTTAATCCAACCACTTTGTACAATGTCAAACACGATACAGACAAATGAAACCACTGAATCAAGTTAGGTGCCGCTACAGACATTAAAACTGCTGATAAAACAAGTGAGAAATAGAAAAGCAAAACATCAGAGAAAGCAGAAACGTAATCAACATGTTGAGAAATGTTCTTCAGTAACAGAGAATCTGTTGCTGTGCTTGAGACATCATTGCACAGGAGCAAGCTACATGAAACAGCACGGAGACGCAGAGTCAAGCTGACCTCAGATCTGTTGGAGCACTGAAAGGCATTCTTTACATGTTGGCACTTCTACAGTAAAAAGCAAAACAGATGAAGTGAATCCTGAACAGGCAAAGCTGTGAATCTGAATGTAAAACAACTATTGCTACACTGTATGTTTCACCAGAAAAATAACTGTTTCCACTTTAACTTCAGAAAACGTCACAATAAGAGCACACAGCCGACTGTAACTTTAAATAATATTGCATTGTAGCTGCTGCACAGTAGGAATTCCTCTCATAGGAATTATGTAGTAGACACAGCAGAACATGATCACACTTCCACTGTGGAAATCATTCGAGGCTCGAGTAACAGCAAAGTGAAAATCCTGGCAACCAAAACAGCTCCAGTGAGTGAAAGCAGAAAAACAAACAGCATTTATCTATGTTTTATTCTTTACCTCTGATGGCACTGAGTCCGTGACATCATTAAAGGTTTGACAAATCATCATGACCAGAACTAAAGAAAAGTGTCTCAATGATTATTCACAGCTTCAACCAAACTTGCCTAAGTAGGTAAAAATGTGCATTATAACAAATGGGAAATGAAAAAAAAACTCCCAAGAAACAAGCAAAAGCTATGGGTTTTGTTTGTAAAAATAACTTAAAAGTAACCTTTTTATGGTTTATATATGAACCCAGAACACCTTTCCAAAAGAAACTAAACAGTTTTAGGTTAATGTCAGTTTGTACCAGATATGTTTCATTTGCACAAATGAAAGAAGAAGAAAAGAGGACAGGGTGTCAAAGGCTTTGAATCTCAAGCAGCCATTATCACTATCATCATTTTCTCACCGGCATCATTCCCAATACAATCACCACCACACTGTGCGGCCCTTATGTTCAAACATTGACACATTTTTGGTTTACATAGTCATTTCTTTGAATGGTGCAGCTTCAGAAACACACCGTGGGAAAGAAGTGGATCAAATATATTCAAACCTTTTGCAGACTTTTTAACCAATAGCAGCAATTTCCTGATGAGGAGGCATTTTCAAACAAATCTGTTAAAGGACTGTATAGGTTTGCTGGCCTCGTAAATGCTTTGTTTGGGATCAAATGGGATGACAATGGTTAACACTTGAGGAGCGAGAAAACAATATTTTCTTAAATACTGAGACAGTTTGGGTTATTTTACATGAGAAATGTCTGAATTCCTTTGCTTCTCAGTTTTCTTTTCACTAGTTTAAAGTAGGAGGGTCTTAGTTGGAGTGCACCGATCAGGATATAATGACAGTTGGTAGCTTGTTTGGTCACTACCAAATCTAAATGATTACTTAATCCAGAGGCCAGTGTCATCATTAGCCACTCACTCTTGACAAGCCATCCTTTGAAATCTATACTCCTGTGCCTCTAAAATACAGAGTGGTCCAAGCTTCAAATACAATCTTTAAAACTCCTGCCTTAAAAGTCAAAAAATATTCCCGCCCCATTTCCCCCAATATCTACATTTTAAAATGGCACTGATAAACTCTTATATTTAATCGAGTTGAGAGTAACTGGGCCTTATCGTGTGTAGTTTTAGCACCGCAGCAGGCCTCTCTTCACAGAAACATCAGCCTTTTGCAATCTTAAAGGGTCGATCTGATTGGTTTAAATGGCAGCAGAGGTTAGGTCAATTCATCCTTCTATCAATTCAAAGAGCATAGTTGGGGAAGCAATGTATCTTTCTGGGGAAAATATACTAAATCATTCTGAAATCCAAGAGAATGAACCACACCCCAGCTGTAGGGCACGCTGCAGCAGCTCACACACATTAGAGCTGCCTCTCCATGAAGCTCCACCAACACCAGGTCCAATCAGCACCCCTGACTTCAAAGTGACCCCCCCTTAAAACTCTCCACACAAGCCGTCAAGTGTGCTTACTTCAACCCAAGTCCTCAACCCCCCCCACGGAAACAAGCAACAGGAAGTATGCAAGGCACTAGTAAGTCTCTTCAGTTTACACCGGAGGCTCTAGGGGAGGGTCGGGAGCGAAAGAAAGCAAAAACTAAAGACAAGACAGACTTTTTTTTTTTTCAAGTACATTAAAGTGGACACCATTGGTTTATACATTCACATTCATCTAACAAAACCAGGGGAGAAAGGGAAGAGGAGGGCTATTTAAAGTGTCTGAAATATAAGTACTGTATTAAGAAAAAAATAGCTTACTTTGTTATCTAAATATCAACTATCCACTCTGTTTTCTCTGTCATCGGGCTTGGAGGTCACTTCCTGCTTTCAATTCACTCACTTTTAGAAAGGGCGCTGACAGCGTGTTGATTGGCATTTGTTTCCGAGCGTGTCCTCAGTGGAGGATTATTGAAAAGAGGCGTGACCTTTTGATGAGATTGGCTGAAGGCAGTGAATTGAAAGGGAAAGGACCCCAAGCTGTTCTCCAGATGCTTTTGATTTTCTTTTATTTGTAATATCTCACCCATAACATAATGTTGTCCAACAACATTTGCTAATAATAAACAACAATAATCACAGTGTTTCCACATCGTACACCGATGTGTGCGTATAACAGGTCCATCGACAGAACACATTTTTGTTTCTTTTTTTAAATAGAATAATAATCATTAACAACAATATTTATGACAACAATGTACGCAAATATTTCAACACAACTGTTGAAACCAACCCAATGGAGTTCTGAGGCATTAGTCTGTGTCTGTCTGTTAAAGGGCTGCTACCATAGGCTGCTACGCCTCCAACAATGTGTGTGTATTTACATGAGTCTGTGCATGACTGTGTGTGTATCCATGTGTGTTTTCATGAATGTCTCATGCATTATATGTGTGTGTGATTGCTAGCTGGGGGCAGCGAGCAGAACAAACCCAACAAAACAAAAACAGAAAACAACAAAATGGAATCATCATGGCTGACATTCTAAAATATAAACAGAGACAAACTGTACAGGGACTCTGATATTATTCTGACAACAAGGCCACTTTGTCACGCTGAGTTCTCTCCCTTGGGCTTGTTTTAATCTCTAAAAGGTTTCTGCTGTTATTGCTTCAAATGGCAACAGAGAGGTGGAGAGAGAAATAGAGGAAGAGGAGGAGTGGGGATTGTGAAGAGGCGTTTGGTGTCCTGTCCATTCATCACTTTGTAAAAGGTGCAGATGAGGTATTATTTAAGCACGCTCGCTGCTCTCCCTCTTGGTCCACTTCCTTTCCTCCATCTGTTTGAATAGTTGGTCAGAACAAGGGAGGAACAAGACACTGAAGGTAACAGAGGAGTATGTTTGGTTTTTGTCACGCAAGCTGACCAGTCAAACCCCACCGAGGGCTGCACTGTTCCTTCTCTAAACCAGCTGGACGTCTCCAGAAGCTTGTCTGTACATTTTGTGTGCTTTGAATTGAGGAAAACTTCCAAATTCCGATTACTGAAGAAAAATACTTCCTGAATTTAAGATTCTGTTCTCTCTGCTCTACTCTCTCCGATATCAAAGTTCGCCTTTAGTAGCTTGCATTTAAGAGACGCAAACAGCTTGATTTGAGTGTTATAGCCTCGATAAACTAGTAAAGACAGCCTTAATGCGAAGGCCATGGTATGGTATCCACCATAGCTCTTCTTTTTGTATTCCATTTGGAAAACTGCATTGTTGCATGTTCCAATCTTCTTTGAGAGCTTGAGATTGATCTCAATACTCTGAGAGCCAAACGTTTACTACAGCATTAGAAGCTGCAGTAAACGTTTAAAGGTGCTGTTGGACATGCTGCTGGCCCCCCGCCCCCCCCCCCCCCCACCTGATGTAACGTCTCCCTCTGCTGTCTCACAAGGGTGATTGTGTGACAGGCCTTGTAAAGACTTGTTCTCTCCATTTAGAGCATGTAATGGAACAAGTGTGACTGAGCCATAAGTGCACACACACAATACCTCACACACAGTTATTTAACAGCATTTCCGCACCCTGTTGAAACCTCTTTGGCCTTTTAACATTGCACTCAGTCTTTTCTTTATCCTTGAGCATTTGGCTGGCAGTCACAGCCCTGACTGTAAAACACAGCAGAGCAGGAGAGTGTGTGTGGACACACACACACACACACACACACACACACACACACACACACACACACACACACACACACACACACACACACACACACACACACACACACACACACACACACACACACACACACACACACACACACACACACACACACACACACACACACACACACACACACACACACACACACACACACACACACACACACACACACACACACACACACACACACACACACACACACACACACACTGTGGAGATGCTGACACATCACATTCCTGCTGTCTTCACTCCTCTTCATTTTCTTTTCATTTCAAACTGTTTCCCCCCCCCCCCCCAGCCTGTAACACTCAGTCCAGTCGGGCCGTGATTCAAACCAGCCCCCCCCGGGCCCTACGTGGTCCTCAGGTTGGGCCCCCCCGGGTTGCTAACCGACTTCTTGAGGGAGTTGGTCAGATGGAAGGCCTGGAGCGGCCCCTGCCCGGGGATCTGGCCCTGCCCACTGAGTGAGGGGGGGTAGGGGCCCAGGGGCTGGGAGGTGCTGACCAGCAGGGGCCCAGGCTGCCCCGGGGCCTGGGGGAGGGTCGACGACCCGGACCACTGTGCGCTGTAGGCCGAGGTGGGGGTGTAATGGATGAACTGGGGGGGTTGGGGTTGGGGTTGAGGGGGGGCGGAGGAGGCGGGGGGTTGGCACAGGGAGCCCTTGCGGGCGGCCAGAGAGGTAGCAGTGGTGGAGTTTGTGGGAAGGTGGGCTGACCCCCCAATGCTGCTGGGACACAGCTGACCGGGGGCGGAGAACTTCCTGCCAAGACTGGCTGACTGGATCACCTGGAGGGGGGGGGGGGAAATGAGGAAAGACTGTAAATCGAAAACATGTATAGCTTTTTATGACTTTCAATCTCTAATTTGTGATTTGGACAGCTGTTTGTCCCTTAAGCTGAAGGAGTCATTTTTAGACTGGGTTAGGTTAGGGCAAAATGAAGATTTATTTTTTTGTAACGTCAATTTTGAAAACAGTTGGGGGCCCAAAAGTCCTAGATTCATTGCATATTAGCTGGTTTTGCGGATTCAATATTTTGCATAATACAATCCTTTCCATAGTCCATGTGTTTGAATCCAGTTATGAATATCAGTTATCTTTAATCAAATGAGCCCAAACGAAAAGATAAACGTGTTAGTTACAGATGCCCTGGATGGTTTGTAAGTTATCTATGCATATAATGAAGCTAGAATGTATAGTCAGCTGCGCCATGTGCACTTAATGTGAAGAGATGAAGGTGAGGCCCCTGACAGGCCATGATGATCACATGTAAACTCACCTCGTAGCTGTGTCCCTGTGCTGGGGCCTGCGGCAGCTGTTTGGCACTCCTCTTCCCCTGAAAAAGTTGAATATTTAGTTAACTCACAAAAAAAGTGATTTTCTAAACATCAAGGATCAATATCAATCAATCATCACATGTTTTGTCTGGAACGCTAAACACAGGAAGTGGGGAATCATTAGTATAACACCTTCTGCTACAGTGAGAAGAATCATAGAACAACCTGTGAGAGGTTCATGGCGTCTCGGGCCCAGTTGTCCACCAGTTTATGGAGGTCATCGGTGAAGGTTCCTTTCCTCTGGTGGGGGGCAGACATGCTGGGGGGCAGGGACTGAGAGCCCCCCTGGCTCTGACACAGACCCCCTGACCCACTCACTGCGTTGGTGCTGTTAGTCCCTGTGGGGGGAGAGCGAGACAGAAGAGCAAAGCATGAGAGATATGTTCAAACTAAAACATGATAGTTGATGTTATCCTATGCACTTTCTGTCTTGACTGTTACATGGGGGAGGAGGCTGGCCGGGACAACGTGTTTAGGGTAGGTCAGCATGTGGTCATGGAATTATATTATTTAATTGTAATGATGTAAATAATGATAACAGACAGGAACATGAGAAACACTATGTCACTAGAGCAACATTTAAAACAGATCATTTGATCAACTAATGTGACAAAACTCAACCTGTTTCAGAATATAACCATTTAAATATCGCAGTGTCACTACTCTGTGATACACTGGCCCGCCTGTGATATGCTCCCTGCAGCCTTCACACACAACATGCTCTTATGTTTAACCACAAGATGGCACTCAAGCTCTGTGACAGCTGCTAGTTTGCTTTTTGCCAACCCAGAGCCTCAAACACATCAGAGCAAATGAACTGCAGAGAAAGCACACACACCAGGCTGACTGCAGGTCAGTGCTGCTGAACATGTAGCCTCTGTTTAAGTTACCATTATCTATTATAAGATAACAGTACTCAAATTAAAGCAGGTGCTTCACGTTAGTGTCTCTCTACTAACCCAAGAGGAAACAAAATCAGCCTATGCTGAGAGGTCGGAGGAGGACAATTATGAAATATTACTACACTCTGCATGTGTATCTTTATGATTAATAGATATCCCCCCGGTTATTTTACTACCGTGAATACTGTCTAATCATTCAATAGGTTTTTATATTTCTCTATCATCCTTCCTCTACCATCGCTTCAAACGAGACTAAAGATAAAGTCAACTGATAATAACAGAATATGCAGGCATCAGCCGGTAAAACATAATCATACAGCTGTTCTGACAGAAACCGGCATGTCATGCTGAATAAAATGGAGGAAAATAAGAATGGGGAGACGCTGAGTCATGACTGACTGCAGCAGCATGGAATTCTGGGCAATGTAGTCAAGACCACAAGCCATGACGAGGGAGGAGAGGATAGGGAGGGGGCAGAGGGGCAAACAGCAGTGTGTAATAGCTTGCAGGTGCATGCACCGTTTGCTTTGAATTTGTGATGGCTGCTGGATTCAGTTATTTCAGTCCTCAAACTGGGTGTGAAACTGTGATCGTTCCATATCAAATGTCTACATAGAAAAAACAGTAGCTGACATAACTGAATCACATTGATCTCAAATCCAGCAGAGGGTCAAAGTTGAAATCTAAAGGGCATTAGAGGAGGAAGCGCAGGAGAGCGAGGATGGAAAGGGGGATTGATGGAGGGAGGGAAGACCAAAAAGAGAGATAATTACTACAGAGCTGGTTGCAGGGGCACACTTTTTTCACCATCTTCCCTGTGCAGCCGGAACACAACGATTGGAGGGTTTGGAGAGAGTCAGAATTAAACCCACGACATCCACACACAATGCATCCCAGGATGAATATTTGAACTTGAAGCAGTCGATAAACAAAACCTCGGGGTTGAGTTGCCCAGTAACATCTTCACACAGACATCAGTACCTTGCCACACAGTGCTCTGTAAAGCAAAGTGCAGTTTTTAAATGAAAAGTGTGTCTGCTGGGTGATACTGACCACAGGTTGCCCTTTTTATACTCATCTAAAGATGTTCTTCCATAGACAAGACCAAGATATTTAGGCAAATGCAGACACATATAAGCACATTTACATATAAATACTGAATAGATCAATCTGGTTTATTATATTTATCAGTAAACCAAACTAAGACCTTGGCCACTTCCTAAAGAGGACAGTTTGAATGTTTTGAAGTGGGGTGGTATGACTTCCTATACAGTAGATGGTGGTCGGCATTCCTCCAGTTGGGAGAAACAGACAGGCGTACCAAACAGTGTTGGTAAAGTGCTGCCGGTGTACTGTGGCCTGAAGACGCTTTGGGTAACCAACCCCTGGCTCTGATTCTGAGACCTCTCTACAGCTCGCAGGCCCGTACCAGAACTGGGTCCAAATTAAATATGTAAGTACGCTGTTCCCTGAGCTCTGAATCGCTGCACACATCTATCATTAAGTCAGAACCAAACAAAATGGCCATTGAGTTCTGTTTTAAAGATGAATAAAATAATGAATACATTTCCAATTGACATCACTTTTCTTCGACCTGTTTATGAAAAAGGACAAGTGATGATCTTTAAGACCCAGCTCTGTCTCTCTCCCCTCCTGTCTGTGCAGTGACAGGGGGACAGGTGAGGGAGAGACGGGGGAGGAAAGGGAGTGAGGGAAAGGAGTGAGAAAGGGTCGAGCTGCAGAGGGTTCAGAAGCATTCATAAACATCTCTTCATAAAGCACAACACATTTAAGTAACAATATCAATTTAGAAAACAAATAAACATCTGAATCAGGAAAATATCAAAGTATATGAGAACAGAGCTGTGCTTCAACGGGTCATTGCAATAAATCAAGTTCAAACTAATAATCTCTTCATAAAGAACCAAAGTGTACAGCAGAAAATCTCAAGTCATCAGGAGTCAACTGGTCTTTCCCTGTTAGTGTGCTTGTTTTACAGAGACAAGAGTTTAGAAATGGAAGCACCCAGCATTAGAAATCCAGACTGACAGACAAACAAGACGATCACACATTGCTAACTGCCAAAAGGGCTAGTTATCAATTAAGCTACTTGCACAATCAATGTGTAGCCGATGCTTTCCCAGGGAGCTTATTAATGTTCATGCAATGATTTCTGGTTATGATTTTGTTTTGTATTTTTGATGATTGATAAAAGTGTGTCTGCAACCCTTAGAATTCCAGGGCTTGTAGTATAAACTGCACTTGCTGCTCCTGGCTGTCAACAAGTCAATCAGGGTGGTAATCTGAAGGATTTCACAATGCTCCATGGCATTACAAATCACAATTTTTGTTTGGTGATCAGCCTGACATGCTCCACCCTGCCTGAAGATAACACCCGCAGCCTAAAGTGCACAAGATTGGCATTATATGTGAAGTTAAGAGATTAGTTATTTGTCATGGAGGAAAGAAAGGGAGAGTATACTGAGAGTATAGAGGGAGTGGAAGAAGACTAAAACGTCAGTTAAGATGACGATGGGAAGCTCTAGGATGTGAATTATTTTTACATTGGGCTAACTTTCTGCCTCCTTAAGTAAGCTTTTATCCTGAGATTTTCATTAATTTTCCAACATGAACAATAAGGATTTTTGTAAGGAAGATACGAATAAATGTAAAAAACATCTGAATGCTAATTGTACCTGCATAGGGCAGCACACGTAGTTTAAAAGTGTTGATTTAAGATAGTAAAAGTCTGCAAGCCCAGGGTGAGATGGTTTTCTATTAATGCCTAAAAGCTAACTTGTTTTGACACTAATGATATCAGTAGCAAAAGGTCTTCCTCCATCAAAGAAGGAAACCCAAGGGAAGACAGGATGACCGTGACTTGACAGATACAGGAGTACAAAAGTAAGATCAAAAGTAAGTAAGGACGACGGGTCAAAAGAGAAGAGCAAAGAAATAAAGCGTTACACACAAAGAGCCAAGCAGGGCGTACTCAGAAAGCGCGTCCTCCTGCCGCCAGGCTTGAAGGCCAAACGCTCCGAACCCCAGCTGAACTTTACACAGCCTGAAGAGAGGGAGGACGGGAGGAAGAGGAGGAGAGAAGAGGTGAAGAAAAGGAGAGGTGAAGATGAGATATTGAGAGGAGAGGAAAGCAACAACAAAAAAACAGATAAAAAGAAACAGAGTGGAAAAAACGAGGACAGAAAAGGTATAGATGAGAGGGAAGGAGAGAGAAACAGGTGAAGGAGTACAAAGGTCACAGTCCATTAGCCCATTTTAGAAACAGCTAGAGAAAGATAGAAACAGTGTGAGAAGTGTATTGTTGTGAGAGTGTGAAGGCAAACCAAGTGCATGCATCAGTGTGTAAATATCATGTTGTGTGGAAGCTGATGAGGCCTACAGGGATCAACAATGGCCTACCTGGGGTGGGAGCACACAGGCTGGGCACAGAGAGCGCCGTGTCGCTGGTGCAGGCCGAGCACACGTTGTTGCTGGAGGGAGAGGGTTTGAGAGGCTGGAGCAGAGTACTGCTGCCCGAATCGGCTAGTCCTCCTGGGGCTAACAGAGCCAGCGGGCCGGGGGGCAGGGTGGGGGCGCTCTGGGCCGATAAAGTGCTGCCTGGAGACGCCACAAGGCACAGGCAGGAGAGGACAGGGCAGGAAGGACGCACCGCAGACACACACACACACACACACACACACACACACACACACACACACACACACACACACACACACACACACACACAAAGACAACACACAGATAAGAAACCCGTCACCACAGACATTTCCATAGACAACCCCCCCACACACACACGACCACACACAGAGAGAGACAGACGGGGAAAGCAGTCAGAAATGTTGAAGCTCTGAGCCTGCACCAACAAACACCCACATATGCACGTGTAACCAGCAACACACACACACATGTATGTGCACATGCATGCATAAACACAAGAAACAGTGTAAAGTTAGGGTGAACGTTTTTATCTATTCTTGAAGAAGTGTACATTTTAAGATTAGCGATGCTGGCAGCTATGTTTTAATGATGGCGAGAATATTTAAAATCCTGGAAACATTTTGAACCAACTGCTACAAGGCTATTTACCACTAGAAGAGAGAAAGAAATGGTGTTGCTTCTGACAGAAGAGCGTACCTGGTTGTAACGGACTCTTGCTGCTGTGCGTGGAGCTGGTTCTGGACGATTTGGAGGATTTGCTCTTTGTAGGTCGTCTTCTCCTTCCAGTCAAGCCTATAATTGGTGGGAGCACTGCAGCTGGAGGAACCTGCATGAAAACCAAAGAAAGAATGGTTGAGAGATATGTACTGTATTTGATGCTGTTCATAGTGTCTGCACTAGAGATGTTAAGATTCACCGATTCGCATCGGTGCACCGGCATAAACGTTCAAGATGCGAGTGCACCGGTTGAAAGAGTGCACATCGGCTACAGTTTGGGTTGAACCGGGTTGAACTCGCGATGCATCGATTGCGTAGCGTCTTTGCATCGGTAAAAAACCGATTCATTCATATAAAATCCCCTAATCTTGTCAACGCTCAGCAGAGACGATCTTTGATATTTGCTTCGCCACTACGGAGGCCGAGAGTCTCAGTTATCAACACACACGGAAGTCGAGGAGAAAGAGAAACACAGCGCACCGAAAAATACCTACAAATCAAACGTTTGGCAACACTTCGGATTGTTCAAGAAAGACGGTGTAATAGTCCTTTATGCTAGGCTATATAGTTGACCGCAGGTCATGGAGAGTAATAAGGTATCCGTAGACCTTTGTATGAGGTATCTTTATTACTTAACAGGTCTACAGCCATGATACATAGATCCGTCCTAGATGCGGGCTTGCATACACACAGTATCACTCCGCAGCCGCACCCCATCAGTAACGTCCTGATGGTATATGTGCGCGGCACAGACGGTCAACTTGAAAAATCGCTCGCAAATTGTTAACGATGCCGAGCCGGTTTAAAGTACACAAGTAGTACGAGGAACTTAGCGACGCACATAAAGAGGCGACATGGGGTCTGCGGCTGAAAAGAGAAACCTCAAAGTTAGACATACGAGTTAAATCACTCAGTGAGGTGTTCTGTCAGAGAGAGTGGTGTTTAGTTTACAGCAGCCTGTGACGGCCAATAATAATTTAAATGTATTCCTCACTGTAAGCAGTTATGAAATACCTGTTTGTGAAAGGTTATTTGTATTATTTATTGTTCATATAGAACCCACCGCTTTCTGCTCACTGGTGAGTTAGCCTATGAATGAGTGTTAAGCACATCAGGCTGGCAGCTGTATGGGCATTGCTCTATGGTAGCTGTTATTTGCACATTGTTAATCATGAGCAATGCATCCTTACATTGTTTAACTGTGAGGTGTTATACAATTGTACTCCGGAGAGCTTTTAAAGGTAAAAAAATAAACGGCATGATGGGATGTGCAGTACCAAATATGTAAAGCACTTTTTTGTTAATGTATGATTTGCTGCATATAAGGAATAAAACAAAAATCCTCTGTCGTACCAAATTGAAGTATCATTATTTTTGCATCGTGTTGAATCGCATCGTATCGCACCGAATCGCATAATGTTGAATCAAATCGTATCGAACTGTATGGCAACAGGGGTGAATCGTATCGTATCGCATCGCCTGGTGTTTCAAATGTATCGTTAATGTATCGTATCGTGGCAACGTATCGAGATGCGCATCGCATCGGCCTCAGTGATGGAGATGCACATCCCTAGTCTGCACTGATGAAACAAGGAGAGATACCTTTCCCAGCTTTGTAAAGAGACTGTCTATTTCCTCCTTCTGGCGGGAGTGTAAGGCCTGAATCTCACGCATGTGCCTGGTGGTAAAAAGAGGGAACACAAACATATTAATAAAATCTTGACAGGCAAAGAAAGAAAAATATAATCAGGGTAAGGAAGCAGAGAGAGATGAGGAGGGCTAAGTGTTCTGGGCAGTGGCATAGCCACCATAGGGCCAGGGTGGGCCAATTTTTGTTATTATTATTATTATTATAAAAAAATGTATTCACCCATTGAGAATATCCAAGCATTCAAAGTGAAATTCAAGTGAACAAATATCGAGTTGAATTAATGTTGTATGTGTTTTTTAAAACTAGTCTATGGTTCCGGCGCGCGCCATAGTAACGTGAGAGAGGCAGAGAGCTGCCTGCAGGGACACGCTTTTCTGTAAAATGTGCAGACATTTCCGCAGCCCAGGAGCTGAAGGTGCATTTACGAGGGATGGATATGTAGACTGGAAGCACCTGCGTAACTCGTTGGAGAGACATAAAAAAAGCGAGGACCACTGCAAGTCCATGAGCAGGTTTGAATGTTACAACCTATGGTTGCTGTTAGTGCAATACAAGAGTAAATAACCCAATTTGTGTTCTGTGAAACTGAAAAGGATATTACGTTGTTTTTGTTACTTTCGTTGCAGTTGTAAATATGTCTTAAATGTAATTTAGGTTAACTTCCTGTGTTATTTAGATGCTTTTATTTTGAAGGCGAGTTTACACTGTTGATAGGAAGTTGTTGTTACTATGGAAACAACGTGACGGAGAAAAGGAGCGGAGATTAATCTACATATAAAGACGGAGAAAGTAAAGGATAAAGTTTATGTTTAAGTTTAGCATCCCCCGAAGAGGCACAAAGTTGGTATTAACTATAATATAAACATGTAGGTTGTGTCCTAATTCGTTTGTATGCTGTTTTGTAGCTTTGCTGTCTGTTTACAGTTAACATTTGGTAGTATGCTAAAGTAATTCTAATACGGATGGAGCCTAAATGTATTTGCTATTTTTGTGTCTTTATAGCTCTTACGTTGATATTGGAGATTTCAATCAATTCATATCATCAGTCAAGTCTTCGATCATTATTCGGAGGGAAATGCTACAACGATGCTTGGCAATGGGCATTATTATATACAGGGGTGCACACAACCTTTTTGCCCTGGTTCTCAAAGGAGCACCTGGAGATGTTGCTTTGTGCGCATCCTTAAAATGAAATAAACCGGACCTTTTGAGGGGTACTTGACTTTATAAACGAGGGGGGGGGGGGAGTTGCGCTAGTGAGCACGCTCATGGACTGTTCACCGGAGCCTCGCAGCAGGGTTACTGTGCGGAGTGCATAAAGCAGACCCTTCACACGATAGCGAGGGGGTAGAGCGAGGGATCGACAGATGCCGTCGTGCTCGCGGACGGATTAAAAAAATCAAACCTAAACGGCTTACGAATTATACTTTGGCGGCCGTTAATATACCTGGGTGGCCCGCCCAGGTAAAGTCTATGTGTGGGAAACCCTGCTATCTTACCAGTTCATATGCAACTCGCAAATATCTCTCTCTCTCTCAATGTTGGTGCGCAAATGCGCCTTTTTTCAAATGATCCGGTGCTCCTTTTTTTGTGGCGGGTGCGCATGCGCACCTGCGCACCAGTTATGTGCAGCCCTGATTATATATTATTATTATAGGCCAGCCCTACTTTAAAGTCATTTTTCCCCCTGGAAAAAGCTGGCCCACCCTATTTTATACAGGCTCGCCCTAAAGTACATTTCTGCCTACGCTACTGGTTCTGGGAAGTGCTTAACATCCCTTTTCAAGAAAAGAGGAAGAAGCTAGAAAAATAAGTAATGAAGGAAAGTGGTTTGTTAACCAGAAAAGAGAAGAACAGCCCACTATTTCTGGGGGCACAGAAATAGAAAAAGGAGAAGAAAGAAGAGAGTAAAATCTAGTTTATAGCAGTTTGACTTAATAAACAAAAGGTGACGGAGAAGTGAAAGATTGATTGAAGTGTTGAGAGGACAACAAGTCTGTAATATCTCTGAGATGCTTTGAAAGAGGGGAGGGGTTACTCACTTTTCTGTGAGGTGGCTGACTTCCAGTTTGAAGTCTTCATCCTCAAATTCGGAGTCGTTGTCGCTGCTGATGTAGGAGTTATTGAAAGAGTTGTTGTTTAAACTGGGCAGTGACGCTTTATGAGTGGAGTCTGGACTCAGAACCTGCGCAGGGTGACTGGGTCCATTAGCAGCCGGGGAGCCAGGTGGGGGGGTCGGCCCTGACTCCAGGTTCTGCTCCTGGGCACGACTGACTGAGAACCTACCAACACGGGCCTCTGGGCTGGTGGTGACCTGATATAGAAGAGTGAAAATAATATTGGTAGGACAAAGAAAAGGGAAAATAGCATTAGTTTATACATGTGGTCAGTGCTGGGGGAAACACGTTACTGTAACCAGATTACATTTGTCTGTGTTACTGTTGATAGCAGCAGTAATAATATTTCAGTTACTAAGCACAAAGTTATATCCTTGCTTTGGATACTTTAACTATCTGAATAACAGGAGACAGAGAAATAAATCAAACGTCCTTTTTCTCTTTCACTACACTCGTGACTTCATGGATGATGAGATGGACCAGTAATGTCAGAGTCTCACAGCAGAGATAAACAGGCGCAGCAAACATCATTGAGGAAAGTCTGCCACCCTCTTTCCGAAACATGTTGAGGAAGATACAGGTAACAGGTGGGCGGCCATCAGATAGGAGAACCTTTGAAGCTACCTGGACCAGTGCTCTGATGAAACTGAGCTAAGAAAACAGTGCTGATGTTCAAACGGAGATCTACGTCAGGATTGGCTTTATTAGTAAAGGATTGGTGCTGATCCGGGATAAATGAGGTTCAACTTTATATTGTTATTTCTCATTGGATTTATGGTGCATCTCAGGTGATGTTATAGAGTCCAAAAGTAATGTGACTAGTAGTATAACTAATTACTATCCGCAGTGACTCATTTACTAAGGGATTACTTTTTTTAAAAGCAACTAGTAATGTGTAATGCATTACTTCTTTAGAGAAACTACCCCAACACTGCATTTAGTAAAGAAACCCTTCACCCAGTGCATTGCACGATCACAAACAGGAAATACCTGGAAGCGTCCGATTGTGGTGGTGGGGCAGGGTGAGGTGAGGGGGGAGGGTTGTTTGGACCCCCCCTGAGAGCGCTGAGGAGGTCCATCAACAACATCCCCTCCTTTTCCTTTTCTGAGAGGAGTCGAGGAGTTCCTGTGCAGTGTATTCTCCGGGCTGGAGAGACTTGAGGAGGACGAGGAGGAAGAAGATGACGACGAGGAGGAGGAGGAGGTGGAGGAAGACTCAGTGCAGGCCGGGCGGTGGACAGGAGGCGCTTCAGTGGCCAAGGACACCTGACCAGTGAGAGGAGTGAGGTGACAATGCAACAGAGAAGAAGAAACAGACAGTATGAATCGCCTATCACAGTGCGCTGAGATTTGTTACTAACTGTAAAGTACTTACTCATCACTGTACCCTGTATGCCAAGGCAGGTCTGCCTTCACTAACTGTACGGAGGCTCAGTCATTGGTACATGTTCATCTACAAAGCCATGTTGGGTAAACTACCATCTTATATCAACTCTCTGATCTCACAGAGAGTTGCAAGTAGCTATTGCCTGAGATCTCAGGATGTGTTTTTGTTACATGTGCAAAGTGCTAGGACTGATTTAGGTACGAAAGCGTTTATGTGCGCAGCTCCTCTTGCTTGGAACACTCTGCAAAAAGAACTGAAACTGAGCATCTTGGTTCCCTTGCATCGTTTTAAAGCTCGGCTAGATGTAATACAATTTGATACTCTTGGTACCTGTCAGTGTCGATAGGTTTGTAAATTGTACCCCTGTAATTATGTTATATGATGTCCTTTTTGTCTTCTGTTGTTTTTATGTTTTCATGTGTAACCGACTGCAGGTCTCCCTTGAAAAATAGATCGTTTGATCTCAATGGGATTTCACCTGGTTAAATAAAGGCTACAATGAATCAGCTGCTAACAGTGGAATAAACAGAGAACTTTAATCAACAAATGCAGGCAAAGAAGCATCACAACCTGAAATAAAACGTTTTTAAAAGTCTTTTATGTCCTCCTTTCACAAGCCATAAAAGGAAATGTATAGGTATTCTTGTAGGATCTGGAGTATGAGGGACATTTTACCTGAAATCTTCCCAGTTTAATTCCACCTGAATGACCAGAGGTGGACTCAGCTTCATCCAGAGAGAAAGGAACTGTGAGACAGATGTTACAGAAATTAGACATAAAAATAACACAAAGATAAAATAACAGATGTATTAATTTACATACTTGGTTGTCCCGCTGAATGCGTGCCACTGTGAGAGGCCTTGAGTGAGCAAAGAGGGAGAAGAAGGAAGTGGGTTAAAAGGAGTGTGAGTTAGCCGATTAACATCCAATTGTGTGTGTTTGGTGTTTACCTGTGTGTGTGTCTCTGGGCTGAGCGCTCTCCTCAACTGAGCATCAAGGTCCTCCAGAGGCTGCTGGGACTGGAAAAGAGACAGATTCACATTTAAACCCACCAGAAAATAATAAGATAACACACACAGGATTAGCCACTGAAGTTGATTAGCAATACAAGGGCTCGACTGAAAACACTTTTTATATATTTGACTGAAATTCAGAAGATTTAAGTGTGGGGTCTGTAAAAGGCATTATCCCTCTAAGTTTCATGAGCCCCCTCTCCTGAGCCAACACACACAACCCCAGGTAAGGTGAGTTGGAAGGCAAATCCCTTGAGCTCAACAGCAGCGGGATTATGTTGATCAAACAGGACAAGTCTCGGCTATGAGACTTACATAAAGGACGAGGAGTGAAAGATGATAACTTGGCTTCAATATTTTCCATCTAAGAAATACAAGTCTCACTATCAAGTGGTCACATGGTGTGGCTATCTTTAGACACCAGCATACACAGAGGCCGAGGCAACTAAATGTGCTGGAAACTAAATGCACTTCTCTGATTGGAGGTACTTCTCTAAGTTTCCATGTCTCTCATCCTTTTTTATTGGACTGCTGCTCTCTGAATCTAATCCTTTTATAATTTAAAGTAAAGTGCTAGTGTTAGTTGCTAGTTAAATGTCTGTATTTGATTTAATATGTCATTATTTCTTAGGTATATTTCAGGGTTAGGCCGGTGCTGTTAAATGTTCAGTGAGCACAAGGAATTCAAATTATTTTTTCCCAGCAGAAGCATTAATCACACACAACAGATGCATGGATGTGCCACCATAAGCATTACAGGCTCAGGTTACACACAGTGTTGCATTGCATGGGAAATAGAACTCTTAAATGGATAAAAAAAACACCTGTGTTAGACAAGGTCCGGGGAATGATGGCAGGAGTTCTGAAGGAGGAGAACTGGCCTGATCCCAGAGAAATAGAGGCCATGAAAAGACAGAGAGAGAGAAACGAGGGGGGAAATATTTGTAGAGGAGGTTATAAGAACAGCGTTTGTTGTACAGAACGTGAGAATAAATGTTCATGCAAGGAAAGTGAGTAGAAACATCTCGGAAAAACCTTCAAAGATTAAATGATGTGACTTCTTCAATTTGAAAGGTGTATTACTTTAAAACTATGCAACAGTAGCTGCCTACAGGATTAAATAATGGATACAATTTCCAATAGGTATATTGAAATAAGTAGTATTGCCATCTACAGTTAAGCTTGATCACTCACCGATGTCCTGGATAAAGGAGTTTTGGATGGAGTGGTCTGGCCAAAGGATGAAGCAGGGACGACTGTAGAAACTGAAATCATAAAATCAGTGAGCAGCAAAGTTATATCAGTTTCACCTACAGTAGATCATTTACAGAAACACAAACACATTCCTCTACATACCGATGGGAGCAGGGGTGGAGATGGGTGTTCCTGGTCTCTGGGCGGGGGCAGGGGAGCCCAGCGGCAGGGTGCAGGGGGGCTGAGGAGGGTTGGCCGGCTGGCTGGACACAGGTGTGGTGACAGATGTGCTGGAGGTAGGGCAGGGGCCCATTGGGGACGAGGTACCTGCTGCGTGGGCTCCAGACGCAGGGTCAGCAGCTGAGAGGTCTCCACCGGTGGCTGACCCCCCTCCACCCATGTCCATGAAGAGAGAGCGCAGCTTCATCTCCAGAGCCTGGATGTCGTCCGGCTTACCCTGGGACTCATTGAACGCCTCACACCTGAGAGAGATAACAATGAGTGATCTGCAATGATGCTCAATAAATGACCCAAAGCCCATGAAACACAATCACAACTAAAGCTGTTCGATGTTTGACAGAACATTTGAGGGATAGTTCGTATGTGTTGAAGTGAGGCTGATGAAGCACTTATCCATAGTAAAAAAAAAAAACACACAACATGGTGTACAACTTTAAAAGTTAGGACTTAAATCAGAAACGGTCTGATCAGAGAATAATAAGAGGATAATTAAACTGAGCAAGATATCCGTGCTTACTTTTGGTACGTGAACACTTACTACTCAGTCTCAATAAGGTCAGGGAGTAGATATTCTCACCTTGCATCACATTCCCCACAGTGTGTGTGCGTCTGCCCAGGCAGCGCTGCCGTCTGCGGCTGGGAGTGGACCAAGGTCGGTTGGACTGAGGGAACATTGGTGGTCACTGGCTGGAGCCCCACAACGGAGGAGGAAGAGGAGGGAGGGGTGGTGGTGTGGAAGGAGGTGGGGGGAGTGAGCCGTGGCCCTGGGATGGCAGTGGTGAGGATGACGGAGGAGGAGAGGGAAGCAGTAGAGGAGGAGGGGGGGGACACTGACGGATGTTCTGAGGAGACTTCACTAGCTAGAAGAGTGGAGGAAGGAGGCGAGGATACAGGAGTCTGGGCGGGAGGAGGGGAGGTGAGCAGTGGTGGGGGGAGGCCGGAGATGCTGGCAGGTGGTAAAGGGGAGGGGGCTGATGTAGCAATGACAGGATGAGACTGAGGCTGGGGGAAAGCCTGCGGCTGAATCTGTGCTTGAACCTGGGACTGGGACACAGGCTGGGACTGAAGGGTGGACTGACTCACCCCAGTGGGAGGAGAGGGGGAGGAGCAAGGATGGCTGAGAGGGACACTGGGCATAGAGGAGGGGGTGGAGGAGGAGGAAGGAGGAGAAAGTGAGGGCTCCAACACCTGCTCCTGTGGCGGGTTGAAACTAGAAGGGAGGAGAGCAGCAGTAGGATCCACAGTGGGAGGGACTGAGCTGGCCTGTGGGGGGGCAGTAGCTGCTGCAGGCTGCAGAGGGGGGTGGGTGGAGTGGATGGAGGCAGGGGCGGTGCTGGGTCCGGGGTCAAACTGATCCCGGTTCTGTCTGAGCTCAGAGAAGGCCTGCTGTAAGCTGATGGCTCCAGCTGACTGGGACAAGCTCAAACCAGTGGCGGGGGTCTGGGCTGGAGCTGCAGCTGGAGGAACTGCAACCAGAGAAACTGTGGTTTAATCCCCAATGCCCGTCTGGTTCACTGTACAATCTTTGGACAGTGAGGCAGTACGTTTATTTATAAAGCACATTTCATACACAGAGGCAACCCAAGGTGATTTACATAAAGATGTTCAAAGAGACACTGAAAACACAGACAGAGAAAAAGGGGAAGAGCGTGAGGGGCGACACTACTATTTAAAAATAATTATAGTATTCAGTATAAGTGTAATGTGTCCATAACTTTCTAATTCCTATACTTGACGACTATTTTATAAAAACATTACATCACAGCTACACATCGGGCCAAAGAAAGCCCCTAAGCTGTTCTTTGGTCACAAGAAACCGGCTCTGTTGTGAGCAGTAGCTAAACAATATCTCACTGTTCTATTAAAAGGTCATATTCTATCAAATTAAGCAATTGTCCGTGTGTTTTTGCACTTGGACGGATCATTTGGGCAATTTCCTCTAAAAGCATTACAGCTTTACCTGATGACTGTGGGAACATGTGTTTGTCTTTGCTTCCCTTTTTGGCCACCAGAGTAATAACAGGTTTAAAAGCAAACCTTTTATTCTAAAAGAAAATAAGTTAATTGCTGACTTTTGAAGGACAGACACACACACTCACACACAAACACAACCCTTACCTATTCCTGAAGGCCGTTGGCGGGCCGGAGAAGGGGAAGAGGGGAGTGTTTGTTCCCTCAGCCGGGCCTCAGGTACGGGGCTGACGATGAACCGCCGACCCGCTGAATGGACCACTTGTGCTGTTGCACTGGGAGAGATGTCTGCAGAGAGGAGCATGTCAATACATAGCATTGTTATTGTTAATCCCCGAGAGATTCATATGCACGCTGATATTCTACAATAGAGTTCATCAAGCCAAGGAAGCTTTGTGGATGTAAACTGGACACTTTACGGAGTATATCGAATTGGCAGGAACACTTTGAATGATTGCTAACACAGACGCTTAAAGTCAGGTGTAAAGCGTCCCCCTTTGGCATTTAAACGAGTGCTTTTTTTGTTTTGTTATTTTTACCTGGCATGGGGACAGATCTAGTAGGAATCTGCTGCGCCATATCACCTTCCATCTGTAGATCAACAACACAACATGAAATAAACACTAAGAGATACATTGTGTTAAATAAATAAAAGGTGCTATACTGCATATTAGCAGCTATTTAAACATTCATAAAACAACATCAGGAACCCATAAAAAAGACCAAATGAGAGACAGACATCAAGAGTGAGAGTTGTATTTACCTGGCTGTTTGAGTCTCTCTCCAGACCCTTCTCATCTGCGTTCTCTATCACCTCTCTGACCTGCTCAATGAACGACTCCCTCTCACTCTCCAGGATAAACTCACTCTGGACCTGCAGAGAAAAAGTCAGATTAAGTTGTGTGTATGTGTGTGTATATATAATGTGTGACAGAAACCATGCTGGTTTATTCTTCCTATGCCAGTGCGTTGCCACAGAGCTATAATTTCACCTCTTGTGGGAACCTGTTGATAACTCTCACAATGAAAGCACAAGGAAAGGAGCAATTATGTGTGTGGTCAGTGGTTTTAGGTGACAAAGAGGAGATAGCACGCACACTGGCATGTGAAGCATATTCCTTGGCCTGTCTAAATCATTATTTAGCTGACCTCGGGTTATCCCTATTATATAAGACTAGGGCATTGCACAAACATTGCACATTTTGAAAAACATGGCATATTTTGTGCCGTAGTTTCCATTTGTCTTTGAGTCAGTGATTTTTTTAGTTTTCTATGTTTGATTTTTCAAGATATTTTTGTATTAGTTTTTATTCTAATTACACTCTTCCCCCCCCCGTCATTTAGAAGTAAATTGCTCTTAGAAAGGGTGTACTCACCTTATTGTTATTATTATTATTAGGGTTTGTATTTAGTTATTTAAGAATCTACAGTGAAAATGTATTACCATGGGCACTTGAGTCTATCATGTTAATAAGCCAGATTTAGCCATAAAGACTAAGTTGCAAAGGCTAATGATTGCAGTACAAATTAAAGCACATGTCCTCAATTAAAAGCCCTTATTTTTATTGTCATTTGTCAGGGGAAAAACGTTTTCTTTTTATAACAATATAATTTGTCCCAATTATGTCTTGGACAGTACATTTTCAACAAAAGTAGTTATAATGAAAGGCCTCTGCATGGAATAATAAATGAATTAAGATGGTTGAAAGGAGAGCAAATCATTCTGAAGAGTTGTGGAGAAGATGAAACAAGTGGCGGAGTGTGTACCATGATCTGGGCGATCTCCTCAGGGTTGTCTCCGTCCAGGTCGAACCTGAAGGTCACCATCTTCCTGTTGTGTGTCTCCAGCTGACACTCTGCTACCCTGTCTCCTCGGTTGGAGATCTACACACGGACACAAATGTAGAAATACACAGAGAGAACATCACCATTAGAAAGAAGGAGACAGTCAAAATATCTCTATTGCAGGTTTCTATTTACTTTTATTGCAGCTCATCACTCACAACCAATAAACACTAGCAAAAGAAGAGTTATTGCTTTCATTAGGATTTATAGGACTTATGGGCTGTGCTATTACATTGAGGACATTGAGTTTGGCCTTGGAGGTCTTCTCATTGCGTGATCGACTTCGCACTGAACGCCTCTGATGTCTCTTGGTGGAGCGCCCTTCATGGCGACCCCCTCCTCCTCCTCCTCCTCCTCCTCCTCCTACTCCTCCTCCTCCCTCGTTTCCGTCACTCAGACCTGAGGCCTCAGAGTGGCCGCTGAGGCACAGAGGGGAAACAGAGATTTAATTGACAGGAAAATAGAAACTGACTCAGAGACGCCATTCAAAATGATTACATGTAATCAATACATGCAGGAGTTCAGACATTGTGTGTGAGTTTGCTCGTGCATCATATGTATTACCTCTCTATAGATGAGAGGACTTGAGGTGGCTGTAGTTGGGACTGGGACAGCTCTGAAGACTGAAACACACACCGACACATGAAAATACACATAAACACATCAATCATTTTGATGTGTCAACACAAAGAACAAAAAACAACAGGAAAGCATGAAGTACAAGCAAAGAGTGACACAAGCAAGAGAGCAATCTAGATTAAAGCATTATTTAAGAGGATTCATTTGAATGAAAATATATGAAGCCAAACAACAACTTCAAAATAGAGCAATAAACAAAAGGAGCAAAGCGAGAACTTCCCCAGAAGACGATAGTTTGTATTCATTATGTGCATACAGTATCTCCAATAACACATGCTACCCTGTTTCAATGTAAAGGTCTGTAGTAAGAGCTTTTGACTTTAGAAATCAAGTCAGAATGGAGTTGCACTCCTGCGTACAGTGATCCATTTTGTTCATGTGACAACATTGATATGCTCTGTGACTCCGCACCTGTTTGGGAAAGCTTTCCAACAATGACTGTTTGATTGAGGGTGTTGCTACACTCACACCATCAAACCTGTTCTTCTATGTTCAAAAAAAGTAAACCAGAATATTACCAGCACATCATCATTCATGTAATACATCTTCATATTTGCCACTGAGTTGCACTGAAATATGAATGTACTGTAAATGCAAACCAACAAAAAGCGACCAAAACCACCCAACATCTGAGCCATCCACAGATAACTGAAGTGGTTCATAATGCAGCTGTAATAGGGTCTTTCAATCAAAACGTACGAGGTGCGCAGGATATTGAGCATCATGCAACAGCAACTCCTAACAGATTTGTTCTTGAGCGGAATGTTCGAGTAATTTGAGATCATTTATCAATCTCTGTTACTACTCAGAAATGTCTGTCAGGTACAGATCTGATTTTTTAACCAAAGGGGGAAACACTTTTGCATGACAAAAATATATGATATAACATTTGTTATTATTATCCTGTCCTGCTAATTCACTTTTTTTATTGAATTAATGTTTTTTATTTGCTTATTTTGTTCCAAACACGCATGTATTTACGGTATGTAGTGTCTGGAAACATTCAGAAACTGACTCATGCAGCTGCTTCGAGATCTTTTTTCAATTTGCAGGACTGGAAGCTCCATCGGGTCAATTGTACTTCACAATTTTGTGAATAATACACACCTACACACCTAAAAGATCAGGCGAATCTGATTCGGCACAGAGTAAGAGCAAACCTCACAAGAATACAGAAATGGAGTTTCATCTTATATAACATGCTGTCCAACCCAAAACAAAGTACACAATCCTCACTCGCCCACAGCATTGACGTGTTGCTCTGACAGGCTATGACCAGTACCTGGGGAGGGGCTTCCATGGGAGTATCAGGCGGGGCGGTGACTACACTGATGATTGGCACCACCGTGGCCAAGGGCTGAGGCACAGGTGTGGGCACAGGAGGAGGAGCAGGAGGAGGAGGGGAAACAATAGTAGGCACCACCCCAACAGGGAGTGGCAGACGAGAGGCCACGGCCGCTGTCGGCATGGTAACAGTGAGAGATGGCGACGAAGAGGGCAAGGTCGCCGAGGAAATGGTAGACTGAGTTACACTGGGCTGAGAAGAGGATGGAGGACCAGAAGGAAGAAGAAGGGAGAAAGAAGAACGTGGATAAGGCAGAGGAAGGGAGGGAGGAAAAGGGAGGGAGCAACGTCAAAGGGAGGAGGAGGAAGTAGACAAACCCGGCAGTGATCACGTGTTAACGCCAATCTCCTTCATAATGGATCAGTGAGCTAAAGCTTCCCTTTGGTTTAACTGCTGCACCTTAAAGACTTCACACCAAAATGAAAATAAACCAATTAACTTAAAGAGGACATACTATGCTCATGTTCAGGTTCATATCAGTGTTTAGTGTCTCTCCTGACATGTCTCCATGCTTTCATGTTCAAAAAGCTCTTTATCTCTCTCATACTGCCTGTGCTGCAGCACCTCTTTTCACCCTGTGTCTGAAACCAGAGCCCAGTCTGCTCTGATTGGTTACTGTAGCTCTGTTGTGATTGGAAAACAGCTTAGAGCTGTCCCGCCCCTTAGCCAATTTGTTGGAGCGCTAGCCAATAGCATTGTGAGTGTTACATAGTGATGTCACTGTGTTATTGAAGTGAACAAAGTAGTCCAATGGAGGCATTTTAGGCAGGGGGGGGGGGTGTGTGTATGTGTAACACACTACAGGAAAGGTAAACCCCTCCCAAAAGGAATAATAGGGCCTCTTTAAGAGTATTTCTTGACCTTAATGATAAACCGTGTAAAAACAAAGAGCCATCTTTAGTTCACTGACCCGTCACTGACCCTCAAACAACAAAGACAACTCGAACACTGAGCAAGACCATTAGTGACAACAGGCTCTGTGACAGGACGATTGTGTAAAACACACGTGACTGTGAGACCATGCAGCGACACACAACTGAGATCTGTACACAGTGCACAGTGCTGCAGGTTTGTTTCACAATGTAAACACTCCTAATGAAACATTCAAATGGAGACACATGACTAGAAACACACATACAAATGTTTTCAAACACTATGAGTATAAAAGTGCATTTATTCTGTGGCAATTCTAAATTGAGTTTACAGCTATTGTGTGTCCTGTAGGTCAAATCCTTTTCTGGCAATACAATATACAGTACTTATAAAAATGCCCAACTGGATACAGGCCTGGATAATGACACAACACACCTTTCATCATTCTTCACTTCCAACTGTAGCCAAATGTCCTTTTACTCTTTACCACTTCTGATCCAGGAAATATTAGCACAACTCAATTGGTAAAAAGGTGCTAATGTGTTTGAGCTCCATGCTTTTGATCAGATAGTAAGTAAAAGCATCTGGGGTGAGCTACCAACGATAGACATCAAACACAGACAGATCTATATCCCAAAGCACAACAAGAGGGATGTCCAACAGATTCACTGAGCAAATCACACATATACACACTCACTGAAAACAATAAAAACATTGCCATATCAAATGTTACCTGAACCAGAACTAGCTGAGCAGCTTGGTACAGAAGATAAAGATGCTCTATACTCGGAGACGGACTGACGTCAAGAAACTAAACGCACACAAACACATACATCAAACATTAAAGCACACACAAATTGTGTATAGAAAGATAAGGAAGCATGTGTAAACACACATACAAACAAACCCGGTGATAAGTGCAGGCAGCATGCCAATGAGCCAGCAAGTGGGAAAAGTAAAAAAAGAAACATGAGCGGACAAAAAGAAGTTTACAGAAAAGCAGTTCACGACAAGCAAAACATGCAGTAATAGCCAAGAATGGCATTGATTATGAAGTGTGATTAAATACTTGAATACTGTGTGTCCATGTTGGTCCCTGGCTGACTGTGTTTTTACAGAAATGCATATACAGGAGAGTGTGTGGGAAAGCAACACTATCAGAGAGTCGTTTGGAACCTAAACTAACCCTCAGGGTTCTACATGATGACAATAAAAAGAGTCAGTGTTTATTAAATTGGCTTTGACTCAGACTTTGGTGCGTGTATAAAAGGCGGTAGGTGTGTATGTCGGTAAAGATGATCTTGAGTTAAATCCTGCTATTGTATGCAGAAAGACCAGCAGCAACTTGTTTGCATTAGGAATGTGTTTATGAGGTAATCTCGTAAATGTATTTTTAATTAGCGGTGCTACTTTACGTACCTGTGAAGATGTGTAAGGCAGAGATGTGTGCGAGGGGCTCTGAACTGATGTGATACTGTGACTGGATGAAACGACCTGGAGAGAGGAAGAAAAGAGAGACAGTGAGGGGAAATGACTAAATACATAAAGATTACACCAATATCCTTTTTAGGTTTCAGACTTTTTTTTAGGTACTTCATCTCCAGTCCTGTCCTGCTTCTAATAACCAGGATAAACTCAGATGATCCCAGGTATAAGACACTAAAAAGAGAATTAATGTAGAATTAATGTTACTTAATTCAATGAATTGTTCATTTCCTGAAAGGCTGCTGAACAATATTAAAATAAATAATATTTAGTGCAACGTTGTATAAATGCCATAACAAGTTTGTTATACAACCACAAACATGTTGAATTTAATTATGTGTGAAAGGTTGTTTTGCTAGTTCTAATGAGGAAACCTGTTTTTCTGACAAAAAACATTTGATGTCAGATTAATGTCCAATTTCATGCTCAATCAATTCAGTTTAAAGCTGCAATTAGTTCATGCCAGTGGTTTGTGCTGGGGGCAAACACAGCTCTGTGCTGTGACTGCAAGCAGCAGCCAGCTCTGTGGGGGGGTTCCCTCGAGGGAAAGGCAACAACTTCAAAGACAAAGCCCAGTTATTGCTGGATAAGCACAAAATAGGGTGGGGTCATTATCTTTATGAGGATGTGGTATTAAAAGTGTGATCAAAGTAATGAAATGAGATAAGAGAACACACTTTTAGATCAATGTAAAAAGTTACTTTCTGGGTTGTTTTACTACAGATCTTACCTGTTGGGGGGTCCCAGGAGGAGCTGGCTGTGTGTTGGCAGGAACCAGAGGGGGTGGTCCTGCAGTGGATTGTGGGATGGGGGACTGAACCTGCTGCTGAGAAACAGAATTGCAGAAAGACGAACAGAGAGGAGGAGGTGTTGTGGGAGAGGGAATCAAGAGAGATCGGCAACAAGACAAAAGAGAAACAAGAACAAAATCAGGAAATGTTTGCAGCTCATACTCATAAACCGTACATGAGTGCAAACACAAGGTGCTTCTGCTGTTCTACAGTGATCCGTTTGGAGTCTACATTTCCCTCTTGTGTATGCACATATGCACACAGACAACATCTATACGGCTACAGATATAAGCACACCAATACCGACTGTATGCATAAACAAATACACACAGTTTGTAGTGTAGCATGTACAACAGTACAGGCACAATACTGGGGTTAGGCAGGGTGTAAGTACAGGGATTTCTCACATGCAGGTCAAACCCTTAGTGATTGGTAGTGATAATAAGTCAAAGAAAGTGGAAGCTAGAAAAATGACACCAAACAACCCACTGCTGTTTGCCCTAAAACACCTTACACAGATGCCATATTGGATCTATTTCCACGTCAAATATACTAAGATCTTCATTTCGAGATTTCTTCATGACATTTTATAAGCAGCCCTAAAAGAAAGTCTGATTGGTTTGTAATGTTGCCGTTTTTAAACGATTGCCTGGTAACGTACATTTGGGGATTATTGATTTTCCTGGTGCATTCCTAGTGACCGTGTGAACACCACAGGACAGAATCATACAGAGATATTCTGTGACTGAACCCGTAGGAGGCTGTTGCAGTTTGTACTCGTCACAAAGCACAAGTACGTGGCATCAGACACACTGCTACCTGCCTTTTTAACATCAACACGTAAAGACAATAAAGAATTTCACAAAAGATATCTAATAAATATATAGAAAGATAGAAAACCTAAATTCAACGACATGAAATAAGACAGATTGGAGAAAATAGAAGAGTGATCATAAGTGTTTTAAAGAGACCATGGAAAAGTGATGCTGATAATATCAGCTCTCTAAAGGTTTCATGAATGTGAACTGTGACTTTTGAACCTTGGGTAGAAAGTTGATTACCAGAAAAGGACAACATAAAATGCAAAAATAAAGAAACAATTACAACAGAAAACAGAAAGAATATAGAATAAACAAATCAAATGTTTATCTGCATGGTTACATTGCTAGGTTTGTCTAAGCCCCCTTGGTTTTGTTGTATGTTTCTGTGTGTTTGTCCATACAAATCAGCAAAGTCTCGTAGCTTTATCATTACTTTCAGGATTTTCTTGGATTCGTAACATGTCATTCCCCATGTAGGTGTCTAGAATTATATAAAGTTACATTTGAAAGTGTTATTATATATAATAATCACCATTGATGTTGGACTTTGGATTTGTATGAGCAAAAAAATGAAGTATATCGTAAATACAGTATACTCCCACAAACACACATTTTCTCATATACATTTAAATATGAACATACAGACAAAATATTACTTACTGACATTGACAAATAAAAAAATACACACAGAAAGGAGGGAGCTTTGACCGCTTTGAAAAGCTTGCACACCAGAGTTGGTCTCAAAGACTACCTTCTGAATGCTTTCTAAATCATTTTGATTCCACTCATGATGCTGAGTCCTATGTTGGGTTTGAAATCGAGTGTTTCTGGTTGGTTGGGCTCTGGGTTGTGCCCTCTTCTTTAAAGTTTTATGAAAGCTCTGCTCATGACTAGCATTTTTCTATAACGTATGCTTCTTGAGGCAGAACACGCAATAATGTGAGACATTTGGAAGGCAGACCATGAGACCCTCTCTCTGCAGTGTTCATATGACTTGAAGGGATAAAATCACAAACAAAGACTACTACTGTACATCATCGGGGGCTCCTGGGTTGGTAGGGTAAAAAAAACAACAGGGATTGGTATAAAAGCCTCTAGGTCATACCACTATTATAAATAATTCAGCTGCTTTTCATAGAAGGATTCACTTTACTCTGATGTAGGATACCATTGTCTATCTCTCTACTTGGTTTTATACCATACACAATGGCAAATGACCCAATGGGCACACTAGCATGACATATTTGGTCCATGGCAATATTTGTCATTCTCCGTTTTTGTAACAATGTCTTCTTGCAGACAAACAATAAAAAAAGAGCACAGAATGTTACAATAAGGCAATTATAATATATGGTGGTTGTGAATCCTTGCTAGAAAAGGAACGTATGTAATAGTAATTGACCCAGAGTCTTAGGGGTATTTTAGGTCTGAACGTAGTACCAGAGTGGGGTTAGCGGCCTGCATGGCCAGCAATGACTCATGGTATGTCATATCGGGTTGGGCTGGTATCACCCCTCCATGCCGAGCCCAGGCACTCTGGATCAGAGACTCCAGCTGGGTGGATGGTGCTCCCCCAAGCTCAGTGGATGGGGTGGCAGGGAGAAAGCTCTGCATGGAGGGTGGGTGTCCGTGGGGATCTACAGCGAACAGTCCTCCGGGCGCATCGTAGAACACAGCGGAGGACGAGTGAGGGATGGACTGAGCAGCGGAGGAGTCGAAGGGAGGGAGCAGAGGAGGGGGAGGAGGGGACTGGAACTCTCCGGCGTCAGAGGAGGCAAACGAGTCACTAGAAGGATCTGGGCTTCTGTCTTTTCCGGCTATCCCTATGTGGTGAAGGAGGAGACTTCCTGGAGGTAAGGGGAGCTCGGGGCTGAGGTACGTGTACAGCTCCTCTTTCACTGGCTGCAGTCGGCTGTACGTGCCTGAACCTCCGGACCCAGTCCCAGTGTCCTTCCAGAGGGAGGTCCATGGAGCTCCTGCGGGCCCGGTACAGTCTGGACGCCAGGAGGCTTGGGTCTCCAGCAGCAGCTGCGGCCGCTGCGGCTAAATGGAACTCAAAAACACTCCCAGTTGATGGCAAGGCTTCGGCCATCACTGCAGGTGCGGACATGGGGAAAGCAGAAGAGGAGGGGTGCTGTGGTGGAGGGTAGCATCCATCAGATGATGATGTAGAGCCACCGGTGGGCCCACTCATGGGGGGTAAAGGTGGAGGGATTGGACTGTGTGTGCTCATTCTTTGCATGAGATGTGTGTGCAAGAAGCCCGGCTGAGGGGGAGGAACCGGTTCAAACCCCATGCTAGCAGCGGCGGCTGCTGCTTGCATCTGCTGATGGAAACCCAAGTGGCCTAGTTGGTGTGAAGTCATTGGATAACCTCCATATGCCATGGCTTCATAATGGTCCAATAAGGCAGCTTGATTCAGACTCAGTCTCCTCACTGCTTCCTCGTGCTCTGCTCTCATGTCTTTGTAGACGTACAAGCTCGGGTCAGATTGTCCTTGGAGATGCAGCGGCTCTCCAACACCAAGTCTTTGAGCAGCTGCTGCAAAACTGGGATTGACCATAAAGAGAGGAGGGGTCTCAACGCCCTCCATCCCAGCAAAAGGATGCAGGCTACTCCCATAGCGAGGGTAGGCAGGCTGGAAGTGCCGGGTGTGTGCCTCCAGAATGGACGTGCTCTTGCGTCTCTGGGTGTTGTAGGCCTTAGGAGGCCCAGTGGGGGGAGGAGAGAAAGATATGGGCCGCTCAGGGATGGAGGGGAAGAAAATAGTAGGGGGGTCTGGGAGGGTTTGGAGGGGGATGCTCCCTCCTGTGCTTCCTCCTCCGCTGTAGGGGTGCGGCATTGAATGCTGCTGCGACAATGAGATACAATGGATTTAAGGATGAGCATGAGAGAGAACCACAGCAAAGGCCCACATGAAATGGAGAAAACAGTGTATTAAAGTGCATCATTTCAAAGCAATACCAAGAGAAAAAAAAGAAATGAATTATCTTTCCAGATTAGAAACAAAATGACGTGCTTAAGATAGATCAGAACATATCTAACAGATGTAAAAAAGAAGTGATGAGATGAAATGGTAGGACACAGAGACAAGACAGTAGAAGTGGGAGACACTGCTATAGCTCACAGGTAGAGGTAGATTGTAGTGAGGTGGTATCAAGAGAAGAAAGGCCAAATGTTTGCTCCATAATATCCTGAAGCATCTGCACTCACAAAAACGGTCATTTATTTCAGAAATGATCACTGTCAAATGTTAATCTTCTGACTAAGTAGTTGCAACCTAACTATCTAGTCAGCCGAGGTTTTAAGCATGATGTCTTGACTATTCAAATGAAACAAATAAAAAATGAGCCACAACATTATATTCTAACTAAAATTGGAGCCAATAGAGCCACCTAAGTCATTCTTGATTATTAATTTACATTTCGGATATAGCAACTTGCAGAACGCTAACATGCTGTACTGTAAAATGTCTGCTTTTATTATTAGGGTTGTCAAATGGGCAGTTTTCCTGATGCAGATGCAAAAGATATTAGGAATTTGTATCATAGAGCAAAGGTAAAGGTATAGCCAGTCTATCTGATTTTAATATGAACACATGGTGGTCCAACAGAGGGAGAAAGAGAGTTAAAGAGAGGTGGATGGGTAGGATGTCAGACTCACAGCCGTGCCTGAAAATAAACTAAGTTTGAACCAACACAGGTCCCTGTTAGCTAATCAAACTATAGGAGCCACCTAAAATGACTCAAATAAAAAATATGATGTAATCGCAGATTTTTGTTTACTGAGTTGCACTTTTTGCATGAAATATATATACCAATATATATTACATATGTGTACATCAATATTCAGTAAAGCAGGCTTGGTTGGTAGAAGAGGTAATAAACCAGTTTACTTTGAACACACTTCTAAATCCTTTCATTTCAATTATTCCCAAATATTTCCTTTTTCTAATTCCATCTGGTTGTTTCCATTTGGCTAGTCGTTCAAAGCTGTTCAAAAAATGGGTACTGATAGAAAGAGTAATAAGAGCTGATCATTATCAATTATTCCATATAAAGTGGCACCTGGCCCTTTTATCTACTTTCAGACACCATTGTGGCCTGTGTCCCTCATCTCTCTCTCTCTCTCTCTCTCTCTCTCTCTTCTCCCCCTGTGGTTGTCACCACCACTGTGGCCCCTCAGGACGTGAGACTGTGAACCTACAGGCGTGGAGAACAGGGCGGGCAGGCTGGCCCTCCGCTGCATGGTGCTGGGCAGAGGGGAGGCAGAGTGGAGGGGCAGGACCGTCTCCAGGGCCTTGGAGAGGCGCCCGGCGAATGTGTCCCTCTCAGCCGCGAGAGGCATGCAGGGGGGGGTGGTGTAGGAGGATGAGGAGTACAGGTCGGGAGGAGGGGTGGAGGGCTGCTGTGGATGAGCGGCCAGGGGTGAAGGAGCATGGGAAAAGGAGTATGAGGAGGGGGGGACGCAAAAAGACATGCTACGACTTCGACGAGGGCGAGACGCAGGCTGGAGGCCAGGGAGAGGGGAGCGGGACCAACATGAAAAACAAAGACATTAAATTATAACACACAAAAAACTAACTAAACATAGATCAAATACAACACACCCAAAGGACACAAGTTTGAAAAGTGAAGAATACACAAATAAAATCAATAAAGTGATGAAAGGTCATCGAGTAAATAATGATACTAAATCACGGTAATACATTTCAATACCTGATATATTTGAACGTAATACATAAACGTGTACATAAAAGTCATTCATAAAAATGGGGAAAATGAAAGAGAAAAACTGTAGAGGGAAGATTGTTATCAGTGCAACCATTTAAGATAGTATCACAATACAAATGGCACAATTACACACGGAAATATAATTGTAAACATATGCGGTAAAGAAAACTTAAACAGACTGATGACCAAAAAAACAAAAGGAACAAATATTTGAAACGGAATAAAAAACAAATGAACACAATGTTACATAGAAGGAAACAATGGTTATTCAACATATTCAATTAAGTCGTTCTCTAATGTTATAAACCAGTCTGTCATTAACTCGGGTGGTGACCCTGAAATAAACTTTAATGAGGAAATAGGTTTATTGGGAAAAGTCCTAAAAATAAACCCAAACCATCATTTCATTATTGAATTAACCAGCATGCAAACTGAACGATCATCCAGTTAAATAATATTGGTCATTGTAGGTGATGGTACATTTGAAATTGGTAGCCAAAAGGAAATGAAAAGTATTATATTATTAAATAAGAAATGCAGAACCTCCCTTCCTAAGTACTTAGAAAAAATAATGTAATATCAATAAACAACAATTAAATATAATAAATGATATCTGCATTACAAAAGTATGCTATATCTAAGGTCAATTATCTCTTTGGGAAAATCCTAAAATACAGTCAGAATCCAGAAGATGTGCAAGAATACTAGTGCATATTTCTACTCACAAACACTGCACACTCACTCAAACAAAATGCAGTGCTCACTTCAAACGTTCATGTTCAGCACCTGTGAGTAAAGCCCCGCCCACAGACAGGCTAAGCATGACGTCATACATGCAGGTGAAAATGTAAAGTCCAATGTGGAGGTCATCAGCACTCACCATTTGCTGCTGCAGCGGCTGGGCGTAGCCCGGGTGCTGCTGTGGGTTGGCTGAGGGGGTGGAGGGGTAGGGGGTTTGGGGCTGGGAGGGGGGGTGGGTGGAGGTGGGACAGCTGTATGACATGGTCAGCTGAGCCAGGTTGGGGGTGTCAGAGGAGAAAACTGAGGAGCCCTGTCCACTGTCCAGACCCCCTTCAGCTGAGAGAGAGAGAGAGAGAGAGAGAGAGAGAGAGAGAGAGAGAGAGAGAGAGAGAGAGAGAGAGAGAGAGAGAGAGAGAGAGAGAGAGTCAACATTTGTGCACAATGTGATGATACCATACTTTATGATCTGGGCTCTATCTGATATTTTGAATCTCTCTATTAGTCTTACATGCGTGCAAGATAGCGGTCTGCTGATATTGAAGCTGCTGATGCTCCACGTCTGTCTCCTCCGCTTCTACCTGCAAACACAACAACACAATCTGGCGTCAAACAAGAATAAATAAAACAGAAAAGCACAATTTCTAGGTGCTCCCACTGGACACAAGTCCAACAGTCTGTTCCAACTACCAATCAATTAATCAAGGTACAAATATAACTGACTGACAAGCTTCTTAACATTAGACAATGCCAACTGTTCAACTCACCTGTGTGTGGGAAAGTTTGAGTGTCTCTTGTTGCTGCTGCTGCTGCTGCTGCTGTTGTTGTTGCTGTTGTTGCTGTTGTTGTTGTTGTTGTAGCTGTTGTTGCTGAAGCTGTTGTTGCTGCTGAAGTTGTTGTTGTTGTTGCTGCTGCTGCTGCTGCTGCTGCTGATGAAGCTGTTGTTGTTGTTGTTGCTCAGTCTCCAGTCTTCTCTTCTCCTGCTCCTCTCGTACCAGCTGCCTCTGCTCTCTCTTGCGGCGGATCAGAGACACGCGGTCCTTGATGGCCTTGGCCATGGTCTTATGATCCCCCTCAGCAACGTAGCCAGACTCAACCTGGGCCAAATATACTCCGTTTAACAATAACCCTTCACTTTGCCATGTAGTTCTTTCCATCCAACATCCTTCCCTTCTGTCTATCCCCTCTTCCCTTAACCCATCACTTCCTCCCACCATGAGTCAATTTCTTCAGTTCCTGCCCTGCATTGTACGTACCATTTCCTGCGCCACATCTTCAGGGACGTCCTTGATCAGGTCAAAGGAGAACTCGATGGCTTCGTTGTCTTTGTATTTGCCTGCAAACAAGTTGACACATTGCTAGTCAGGAAGCTGCCCCTGTTCTCCTAAAGTAAATTCAAATCTATGATATTAATAATTGCATCATAGGCTAAGTGTTTTCATTCTTCAACAGTTGAATTGTGCTTTTTCAGTAGCTTAGAAATGCTGCTAGGGTATATATTCCATATGTGGGTCTGAGACTGTATAATGAATGCTAAGAAAAATTCAAATTTAAATAATATCCTAATTAAATGGCAAAACACAATTATTCTTGCCTTTGAGCTTCTTCACGTCTTCTATCCTGAGCCAGAGTTTGATGGCAATCATTTCCCCATCATCCTCTTCTGCCAGTTCAACCCGGACCCCCGTGTCCTCCTGGAAGAACGCATGGTTCAGCAAGATCTTTATAGCATATCTAGAGGAACAAGAGAAATAAATAGAAATTCAAGAGAGAATGTAATGTTGTTGCTACTTGAAAGACATTTTTTCAAGACCAGTGGCCTGTACTACGAAGCAGGATTTTCGGTTAGCGAGGTAACTTCAGGGTTAACTCTGGGTTTCCGGTCCTACGACGCTGGTTCACTTCTTACCGGTAATGTAGATCTCCATGGTAACTTATGCTAAACACCTAACCTGCTCCGGAGCATGTGTGTGAGTGTGTGTTTGTGTCTCACCTCTCATCCTTGTTTGTTCTGATGCAGCCCTCTATAATTTCCTTCACCTCAGGAATGGCTACCTTGTCAAAGCTGCCTGGTTTTACTCCCTGCACAAACAAAAAGAAAGACCAGTGAAGTCAAGAAAACGAAATACCAAAAGTAGACCCGAATTCGGACACACACACAGTATACATTTGGCACTAAGAAAGGGCACATTTATTGGATAATAGCAAGTTACTAAGAACACAGAACTTCTGTCAGACCTTTCAGTACAACATTCAGAAGCTCAACACTAAACTGAAGTTGAGCTACAGCAGGAGGCATCGTAATGAACTATCCATTCATTCAAACACTAGAGGAACAACATAAAGAAAGAAGCAAAGTCTAGCATGAAGGGAGCTGAGGTCAATCTTGGAAATATAAAAAAGCTGGCAATTGAAAATGACTTGCTCCAAAAGAAAAGTATGAGAATCAGTACCTCTGTGGATGATACAGTGGATAAAATGTCAACACACTCTCCGGTCAATCGTGTAATCAATTCAATACCTTTGCTGGTTCTTTGTAAAAAAGGTTGCAGACTAAGGCCCATGTGAAATGCATTTAATAAAACAGATTAAATGTACACCGATACGCCTTTTGAAAAACTAAATCCGAAGCACTTTTTAAAAGTTTTAAAGACAGAAAGAACACAAGAAAGCCATATAAAAAGGTATGCTACTTACCTAGAAAGCACTGGGTTCAATAAACTAGGGGAGACTGTTTATGTCAGGAAATAACAACCTACTTCTGCTCTTGTCCACAAGCTCTGTCCTCCCTTTCTTTACTTTCTCTCAGTTTCTCTCCAGCAACCGCCCCAGTTCATTATTACACAACCCCCCCACCCCTCTGACTCCCACATTTAATTCCAGGGCCAAACAAAGTTAGGAGAGATGGAGGAAGTAATGGTATTAAGTCCGATAGATGGGAGGAGGAAAAACAGAGAGAGAAGAAGAAGAAGAAGAAGAAGAAGAAGAAGAAGAAGAAGAAGAAAGAAGAA